GTCGGAGCTATCCCCCACGCCCGCCCAGCATCCCCAGGATCTTCCTAGCAGCGAGGTGGGAGGCGCGGGTCCAGGTTGCCCCGCGGAAGGAACCTTCTCTCCGGGCACCACGCGAGTGGCGCAAGCGCTGCCCTCGCTTGCGCAGTCTGCCCGACGCGGGGGCCTTAGCATCGAGCGCGCGAACGTCAACCCGTGAGCCCGGGCTCGGCCTCGAGGGGCGTTGCACAGCCAAGACTGCAACCGAGCGCGGAGGAGATGACGGGCGAATCGTGTCGCCGTGAACCCGGCGTTGGTTCCTGACTCCGTGCGGGTCGTTCGACCTTCTGGAGCGACATGCGCCTTCCGATCGGCCAAAGCGGCCGACTCCAGTGCATTGGCGGGCGCTCAACCCTGAACGCTCGCGCTGGGGTCGAACGAAATCTGGGCGTAGGTCCCAAAGCTTACGTTGATGCCGAGAGGAGCCCATTGGGAGTAACACCTCAATACCCCGAAAGACCTCACCGCGCTGCCCGTTACCGCTCGGTCTCTCACCGATCCGAGCAGACCGCACCAGCGACAGATCGTCAGATCGGCTCTTCGCCCCGCCCGATCGCTCCGCATCGCCCGATTAGAGGGCACTGACGGCGTTCAGCCTTGAACCCGCGCTAGGGACGCCGCCCACTCGACACTGCACGAATCTGATGTGGGAAAGGGGGTCTCAGCCCCAACCCAAGAACAGAAAGCCACGCGGGCCACCCAACCCTACCATTCAGGCCGACAGGAGCCCGTCGGGAGTAGCAAGACGGCGCGGTGACGGATCGTGTGGTGACACCGAGATCCAACAAATAACCTCACCGCAAGGTCCATCACCGCTCGGTCCCCCACATAATAGTTCCTATACCGCTACTCCCTGAACCTCTCCCAGGGGTGCGATGATCTCGATCAGAGTCCAGCCGTGGCGATGGGCAGCGGTATCGGCGAATCGATGTCTTCTCTTCCTCTGAGCACGGTTCCTCACCGCGTCGAGCATTCCGTACCAAGGGCAAGGCTTCGGGTTGCGCACAGGCAGCCCCCCCAGGTAGTATCTGGGCTGGCCTCAACAGGCCCCCCGAGTAGCCCCAGCTGGCCTCACCAGGCCTCCCGGGAAGTCCAGGGCGGTCTCAACACCCCGCTGCCGCCTTCGGCGGCGCCCCTGGGGCACTCCGCGCCCCGGGGCTGTGGTGCTGAGACCGCCCTGGACTACTCGGCGGGCCCGGGCCTGTCGAGGCCAGCTTGGACCCCTCGGGAGGGCCTGTTGAGGCCAGCCGGGACTACCTGGGGGGGGGGCGCTGTCTGGGACAGGTCCGTATCCCATCGCGGTCTGGATTCCGGGGCGCGATCACGCGGGCGGGTGCGCGGTTGCACGGATACGTTCCGCGCGAGGCATCCGCGGAACAAGAACAGCGTATCCGCGGGGTCGCGGCCCAGGGGCCCGGCACGCGAGGCCGTGGACACCGATGTGTTTCGCCCACGAGTCTTCGTGTAACCCGAAGCCTCACCAAGCTGCAAGAGAGAAAGATGCCGCGAGGCCCCTGCGTCTTTGTCCCCTCGCGAAAATCAGTATGCTTCGGTGTTGGCCCGGTGGTTCGCGCGCGTGCCTTTCGCATCACGAGCCAAGTGAACAGAGGTCGCGAAGCAGAACCGTAACCCCGATGGGGGTGAAGGCTGAAGGTTCACTACAGCCAAAGATGTGATGAAGAAGCGGACCTCCCAAGAAATCTGGGCCAACTGTCGATCCATATCTTGAGCAAACGCCGAGCCAGCCTCGCGCGCAAAGCCCCGTGAACTCGCAGGGGACTGAAGGAACAACTGGGCCAAATGAACCGAGGCAACGGAAGAACTGCTGGGCCAAGGCGAAGACGGGAGGCTTCTTGATGAGAGGCGCAACCATTTAGCATGGGGGGCACGGGTCCTGAGGGAAACGGGTCCTGGACCCTGGGGCCTTCCCTAGAAGAACGAAGACAGACATAAACATAAAAACTCGGAGGTCCGCGCGGATTTCTCGGATCGGCGCCGGGCCCCCCTTGCGGCGCCTCCGGCGCCGATCCGAGGAATCCGCGCGGACCTCCGAATTGTTATGTCTATGTCATTTTTCGTTTCCCTATTCCCCCAGGACAAGTTCTTCATCCTGAGCTGTGTTCTGACCGTCCCGGGGCCCTTGGAGAGGGCCCCGAGCGCCCGAGAGTGGCGATCCACCTCAGGACCCCTTTCCCTCAGGACCCACTTTCCCCATGGCGAGCTACATTCACGGGCCCTGGACGAGGCATGTGCACGAACGAGGGGGGACCAGGGGATGCATTGAAAGAAGAAGAGGGGCTGTGAGATGTGGGGAGATGGGCCCCCGCCATGATATCCACAGCCCCTAGCTATCCCCCCCCCTTGGCCGCTCCCGAGCTGCACTGCCCCGGCCGTTGCCGCCGGGGCCCCCACGTCCTTGCTCCTCGCGGCCTCCCGCAGGGCCGCGCGCGCCGCGGCCCTCGCCTCCTCCTCCAGCAGGGCGCGCCGGGCAGCGGCGAGCTCCTGCGCCCGCGGGCCCACCACGACCCTCAAGGGGGCGCAGGCGGCGCATCTTCTGTATTCTGACACAGCGAAGCAGGTTCGCAGAACTCCCCCCAAAAGGGTGCTTGCACTTGGGGGTTCGTGGAGCTTGGCCTGGGTGGCGGAGGGGCGGCTCCGTGCTCGCCGTCGCCGCCTCGTCGCCGCCTTTTGAGATATTGTTGAGATGTCTCCATCTGGAGATTTGCTTGTCGCATGTTATGATTCTGGAGGAGTTGCATGCTTGAGCTTGCTCAGGACTCCTCAAGCACTGCTCCGACCTGGCACACTCTTAGATGTGGTGTACCCCTCGGGCAGCCCTACTACTTTCCCATATACATACACATAGATGTAGTTATATATACATATATACACACCCATCGGAATCAGCGTTGATTCGTTCGCGTCTGTCGATTTCTCCCCCTTGGGAAGCCCTACTTCCAAAATATCAATGGGCATCAGCAGTGTTTCGTTCGCGTCTGTCCATATGATGCTGGATTCCTTCTGCTGTCCTCCCTTCCCGCGGGCGCCTCTCCACTTGAGTCGCTCGTAGAAGCGCCGTATGAGCTACCGCACGGCAGTGGCCCTCCTTCGAAACTGATACGAAGGACGCGCGGTAAAGACGCAACACCCTTGGACACCCAAGAAATTCCTGGCGGCGCGCACAAGGGGGTAGGGGGAGGGGGCGGAACTTCTTAGAAGGAGGCTGCTTCTTAGAAGGCGCCGGACCTACACCTACAGACAAGACCCGCGCCATCTAAGAAGCAGGGGTGCTTCTAAGAGGCCTTCCCCCCTCCCCCATACCCCCCTTCTGCGCGTGGCCGATATTCGCTTTAGCGACACACGGAAAATTCCCAAGAATGCCGTCCTTGCTGAAGGCGCCGCGCCGCGCAGTCTGAGGGCGCCGCCAGTTCCAGGGGCATCCCTGAGAGGCCGGCCATCGAAAATGGCCGAGGCCGGGCCAAGGAGGCAAGGGCACAAGGGCTTTCCTTGGAAAGCTGTTTGTCCTTGTTCTGAATATTGGCTGTAGCCCCGAACGAGAAGAGTCCCGTGGCGCTGAGACCAAGAGAGTGTAAAGTGACTTGGCGTCGGTGGACGGGCTGGCCCCTTGCGACCGAGCGATGGAGCACGGCAGTTCCAGACTGGCGCCTCGGGCCAGGGAGGGCATCAGGGTGGCAAGGAGGAGGGCCAGCAGGAGGAGGAGCGCGGCGAGGAGATAGAGGAGTGTGCGAGACGCGCGGGGAATTATCACCAGCAGCACATGCGCCACGCCACCACTGGGGGAACTAGTGGTGCGAATCTCAAGACGAGAGGAGGGGCGATCGGCCTTGCACTGCCCCCGAGGGGCGAGGCTGCAATGGCGCTGCGCGGTGCGGATGGTCGCTGCTGCATTGGCAGGGAGATTGTGTGTTTGAAAACGAGGCCACAGGATCCCCATGCGGGCGGCTTCTCCACATTCGCGTTCGCACTCCGCGAACCGCCGACGACCCGCCCTGCGACTCGCCACCGCCGCTCTGCAAGAAGATCGGCACTCCATAGCCATACTCTGCGAGAGCCTCCGGGCCCTCCTGGAAAAGCTGGGGCCACCGTGTGCCAGATCCACCTCTGGCAGCGCGAGAAGAACAGAACTATATATGGAAATGCGATTCAAAACAAGAAAGCACACACCAGAGGTCCTCGCGAATTTCTCAGATCGGCGCTGAGCCCCTCTCCCTGGCGCCCGGAGCGTGCCAGGGGCGGCGCTGGAGGCGCCGCCAGGAGGGTAATTACGGCGCTGCTCCAAGAAATTCGCGCTGACCTCCCAGAGATTATGCTCATGCCGCGTTCTCCTTCGAGAAAAGCTGGGGTCACCGTACCGTGGGCAAGGGTCACCCCTGGCAACGCCCGCGCGAGGGGCCGGAGGGAGGAAGAAGGCGAAACTATGAGAGGGAGGAGGGGGCCTGTGGACCCTGCGTGCGCCCCCTTCCGCATCCCCGCGGGCCCGGAGCCCCGCGATGGCCCAACGCGCCGCCCCTCGCCTTCCGGGCCCTGCCGACAGGAGGAGGAGGAGAATGAGGAGGAGGAGGAGGAAGACGAGGACGAGGAGGAGTAAGAAGAAGAGGAGGAGGAAGACGAGGAAGACGAGGAAGACGAGGAAGACGAGGAAGACGAGGAGGAGGAGGACGACGACGAGAGGACGAGGAAGAGGGAGAAAGAGAGAGAGAGAGGGATAGGGAGAGTGCCAGGAAGAGGGAGCAGGAGGAGGAGGAGGAGGAAGAGGAGGAAGAGGAGGAGGAGGAAGAGGAGGCCAAAAACGGCCACATACCGCCCGTCGTGATTCTTTCGCGACACGAGCACGAGCATGTCTGGATCGGAGACCTCGGGTTTGCGGCCCGCGGCCCGCGACTCACAGCACGCCCAGGGCCTCGGTGCGGGAGGCCGGGGCGTCCGCGGCTGCGGCCGCCGACCTACGCGGGGCAGGTGGTGCAGCACGCGCCGCTGGTGGTGGTCGGCTCCACGGTCGCCTCGGTGCACCCGGGGGCGCCCACCCGGACTGCCCAGAGTGCTACAGAATCGGAGGCACGGACTCAGCGGGCCCTGTCAACGACAGAGCCGTTTGTATTGCCAGTTCCGACGCCGTTTTTGTTGCCGGTTCCGGCGCCGCTTGTTTTCCGGTTCCTCAGGGCCCCGTAGACCAGGACACGCTAGACCAGGACATCCAACATCCCTCGAAACCCATCTTTCCAGACGGCGGCACAGGAAAACACTGCGTTGCAACGCTCCTGGAATAAACCCAGACACAGGCCCTGAAAGCATGCAAAACATCCCCAGACCAGGACAAAACCCAAATCCTGCAGCGCAGCACGAAAGAACTGCACTGGACGACCGAATCTGACTTTGCAGGAAAGGGTGTCGGTTACCCGACTTGCCGATGTCCTGGTTAGTCTGTGCCCTGGTCTCCAGGGGCCTGAGTTCCAGCTCCGGTTCCAATCCCGGAGCCGTTTTGTTTACCGTTTCGAGTCGCCGTTTTTTACCCGCTTCCATTTTCAAGAGACACTTTTTCGGAAACGGTGACAGACGGCCCTGCCGTTCACGGGGCCCACTAAGGGCACAGACACCGGGTTCGGGAATCACCAGGGCCATATTCGAAACACTTCCGCTCTTTTAAAAGCGATCGGAAACAGACCAAAGCGACTCCTAGGGCGACTTGAACATACCAAAACTGTTCTTAAGGCGATTTGAAGTAAACCAAAGTTCACTTGGAGGCGACTTAAAGCAAATCGCGATCGCCCCAAAAGCTGTGAATACAGCTTTGGAGTGGCCCACGTATTCTTGGACCTGATGTCCGTGCCTCTGAACAACATAGACCTCATGACGTATAGATCTGTGAGGTGAGAAGGCTGCGCGAAGAACCTCGACCACAGTTTGAGCTGGAAGATCCTGACGAACATTTCTTAGCTCTCGCGGAGGCGTTCCGGACGTCTTCGGCCTCCGCGGGGCCCATCAGGACTCACACACTGGCTCCCGGGGGGAAGGGTCGAGACCCTCCAGGAGGGGGAGGAGGACCCATGCGGACATCCAGCGGCCGGAACAATCACTCCGGATTTCATGATGAAAGGGGGGTGGCCTGATCTGTGAGGGGGCCTGAGCTGAGCTGTCTCGGAGGGTCCCAGTGGAGTCTGGGCAGAGGCCGCCCTGTCATGGCTGGCCTGGGGGGTCCAAACTGCTCGTCTGGGAGGGTTGCGGCCCCCTCCCCTTTCGTTACGAAATGTGGGATCACCTGGCGAAGGGCCAAAAGCAATGCAGCTGCGAGCTCTGCAGGGCAAGCGATGCAAGCTGTGGGAAGGAACTCGTGCGCGGGAGCTGCCAGAGTGGCGCGGTGGCGGCGTCCCGACTTTGCCGCCGGGGCCTTCGGTGGAGCTTCCTCTGGGGCCACGGAGCGTGTGAGTGGTGCGCCGAGGTGGGGCGGTGCCGCCCTGCGGACTGTGCCGCTGGGGCCTTCGGTGGAGCTCCATCTGGGACCACGAAACGCGCGAAGGGTGCGCCGAATTGGGGCGGTGCCGCCACGTCGTCGTCGTCGTCGTCGTCGTCGTCGTCGTCGTCGTCGTCGTCGTCGTGCAGAGTCGGCGGCTCCGGCCGTGAGGCCTCTCCAATCTGAGGGTCAGGGGGGGGAGAGCGCGCGGCGGAGCTGTTGCGCTGCTTGCGGCATCCGGAAGCCCGCACTCCAAAACCTGCTCGGGGTGAGCAGCCAGCCCTGGAGGACAGGGTCGGGACTTCGAGGGACCCCGTATTGAAACACTCAAACATAGGATGTCTTGGGATAGCGGGGGGAGGACGAGGATGAGAAACAACAGGAATTGAGTGGAGGTGAATGTTCAGGAGTAGGAGGGCGAAGAGGAGGATTGAGACGGAGACAAAGGAGGATACAACAGGATGGAGAGGAGGCAACGAGAGGAAGTGAAGGCAACAGGCTGGGAAGGCCCAGCCGTACAACAGGACGGGGTACCTCCAGTGAGGTGTTGCAACGGCCACGGCTCCAGCCACAGTGCTCGCCAAAGCCTAGCCTTTAGGCGTCCCGAGGTGGGCCCTGAGCCCCCTCAATAGTACGCTTGGTCTGGGGGTACGTCTGGCCTCTCCTGAATAGAACGAGGGGGAAGGGGGATGGTGGGGGTTCGCCTTGGTGCACATCGTGGGGAAGCACCACACGTTCGGGCAGAAGACGCTGGCCTTGCCACCAGAAGACCCCGTCGCGCCGGTGATCACAGACTCGAGCTTGATGTCGGGGTTGACGCAGTAGGGGCAGCAGTGGCCAGGCAACTTAGAGCGAGTCACGCGAGGACCACGGGCATGCGGAGAAAGAGGACGATGATGTTGAAATGGCATGGAACGGTGCGAGGGAGCGGGAGAAAAAGAGAGTGGTGCGGGGGAGAGGCGCAAGCAGCAGGAGGGGGAGGCGGTGGAGACGGAGGACGAGCAGAAGGTTGAGGAGAGAGTGGAGCAGCATGAAACAGAGAGGGGAAGGGGGGGGAAGAGAAAGAAAAATGCGGATGCAGATGATAAGCAGGAGGAAGGAGAAAGAGAATGGGGAAGGGATGGGGGACAGAGAAGAAGACTCGGGAGCATGAGGGAGGCGGAGGACAGGAAGGGGCGGGGAGGAGGCAAGATGAGCGAGGGGACGGAGTAACCAACATATCCATAAGCAAAGAGGAGGGGAGGGGAGGAGGAGGAGGAGGAAGAGGAGGAGGAGGAGGAGGAGGAGGAGGAGGAGGAGGAGAAGGAGAGGGAGAAGGAGAGGGAGAAGGAGGAGGAGGCAGAGGCAGAGGCAGGGAGGGGAACGGGGGAATGGAGCGACGAGCGAACGAGGAAAGCAGGGAGGGAGGGAGGGAAGGTTAGGATGCCATCGATCGCACCTCCGGAAGGTTCCACGGGGACTGCCGCCAACCTCTATTGAAGGCATGAGTGTAGGGGGGGATTGCTGCAATCAAGCCCTCTCTCCTGCAGAGTGACGTTTCGCCCTGCGACCGCTGCCTGACGGTCATGGAGCCAGGGAGGCCTCGACGAGACAGAGAACGGCGAAGAAGCTCCAAGGGCCCTTTCCTCCAGGACCGCGGGCGCCCACAGCGCAAAACAGCAAGAAACACGTCCCTGTCAGGAGGACGGCAGCGACTCCGACGGACAGGGAAGGCGGCAGCCGATCGACTTCGAGCACTTCGCGGGCAGAAGGAGGTCACGGCACGGCAGGTGCTCCACGCGGTCCTGTCAGCCATTCCCCGGCCGGCCACGTTCCGCTCAGTGACTCTTGTGATGGATGGGGCTCTCGAGTTGCACGATCACGTAACAGCCGAAGCACCCTCGAGTCCCGCAGCCCCTGCCGCCCAAGCAAGAGCCCGCGACAGGAAGGGGGGGGACGACGAGCATTGGCTACAATTTGGGTGCTGGAGCCGATGAGCGTCGTACACTCCCATGGACGCGGCGGCATAAATGATAGGAATAAGCAATAAGCAGGCGGGACCAGGCAAGGAATGGCATGGGGAGATCGTCGCTCCCTCTCCTCCTGGCCTCCATGGCAGAGGAGAGCAGCCCTGTGGACCATCGGACGCCTGGCCGCATGGCGCATCGGGCCCAGTGCGCCTTGAGGCCAACCAGCCCTTGGCAGACTGTCGCAAAAGGTCTGGGGCGCAAAGCACACACGAAGCGCGAACGGCCGACGGTCCTCGTAACGGGGTGCGCCCGGGTGGGCCTGCGTGCTGCGGTCGCCGCGCAGCGGATTTGGGATCCGACGTCTCTGGTTGCTGCCGTGTTCTGGTGGCCGCCCTGGTGCGCTGTGATCGCCGCCTGGGCGCCCCATGGTTGGTGCCACTTGGTGCCCTGAGGCTGGTGGTGGCCGACCTGGTGCCCTGAGGTGGGTGCCCTACTCTGCCCTGTCGTGGGTGCCGTATGGTTGGTGCCCTATGGTCGGTGCCAAGGAGGCCCTGGGCCACTTTGCGTTGGTTGTTGCGATTCTCTGGTGCCCTGGTGGCCGATTTTGGGGGCCCTATGGTGACCTTGAGGGTGCCGTGTGATGGGTGCCGTGTGGTTGGCGCCCTATGGTGGCGGGAGAGCGCCGAGTCCCGCAAGCCTTGACTGTTACGATTTTCTGGTGGCCGCCTTAGTGCCCTATGGTTGATGCCCTACGGTGGGTGCCGCAGGGCTGGTGCACTATGGTCGCGGCCCAGGAGGGACCTTGGTCCCGCTTGCCCTGGTTATTGCATGTTTTGGGGGAAATTGTCGGGTGGCTCCCCTGGCGGTGTATTTCAGGTCGCCCATGTGAAAGGTTCAATGTTGGTGACCTGTGATTGGTGACTTCTGGTCGCCGCCCCGAGGGACCCGTGTGCCGCTGATTGCGATGTTTGGCCGTCCTCGCCGCCTTGGTGTTCGATGGTCGCTCCTCCGTGTGCCCCACGGTGCTTGATGGTGCACCACATAGATCGGGCCACGTGGATGACACCACATTGCTAGTGTAACTAACTTGCACAGCAAGGGTGCAAGATTCTTCTGATCGGGGTCTGCGCTGGCAATCTTAACAAACGAGCATGGGAGCATACTCGAACAAACGCTTAAGGGCCACGCACCCTCGACGCCTAGCTTCTCCTGGGCGTTTCCGGGCGCCGTCGGGGGCTGCCGCGGACGCTCGGGGCTGGCCGTGCGCCACTTCTCCGAGGCCCCTGACCACAGATGGGCCGAGGATAGCCTAAGCCTGGTGGCCCGCCCTGGACGCCCTGCGGGCCAGCTCCAGAAAGCCCAACTCCCAAAGCCTGACGTGTTGGCTCAATGAAGAGTTGCCGAAGGGCTCCCTACTTCGTTGGTTCAAAGGGCCCCGCGGCCATGCAGACCTGTGCTGGATCGACATGCAAAATCGGATTCGGTCAGGAACGGATCGGATGACAATTGAAACGTCGCGGAATCGGACCGTTTTGGGTCGCGGATCAGCATCGGCCCCTGCAGGCCGGAGAGGGAATCGGCTCGCGGCGGATCGGATCGGATCCCAATCGGAATCGAAGGTTGGAGATCGTATCGAACCAAGCCTGCCATGTCCACGGCGGCTCCCGAGGCGCGGGGTGTGGTGCGTTGCGGCGCGGGGGTCCGTTCCTGGGGCCCCGTGATCACTCGCCGCGTGGAGGGGGGTACTTTGCACTGTTTTGGGATGGTGCACCATGCTATGACCGGCTATTCCATGTCATGGTATGCCACGCTTTGCAATGTTAGACCATGCAATGCTATGGTGTGCAATTCTTCGCTGTGCCATGCCATGCTCTGCACTGCTGGCTACGCAGTACAATGCAATGCTATGTGACCCCGCGCCTCTCGACTACGCAATGCTATGACATGCTTTGGAAAGCCATGCTGCACAGGGCAACGCAATGTAATCATATGGGCTGCTGTGTCACGCTGAACGATGCTATGACATGCTTTGCTGTGCCATGATTTGCCGTACGCTACATCTCTTTCTATACCAAGAAATGCTCGGACTGTACTGCTGCGAATTCTAGACGCTCCGCGTAACCCCACCTGCGGACCGGCCGGCGCCTCTGCTTAGCAATTAGCCTCGCCCGTGGCCCGGACGTTGCCTTCGCCGCCTGACCGTCGTCTCGTGGCCGCGACCCCCAAAAAAGTAACCCCACCAGCTTCCCTGGGCGTTGCAGTTCAGCCAGCCAGCCCCCCGCCGCCGCTGCCCCAGCTGCTGCTTTTGTGAGCTGGCCCGGCCGGCTCGTGCTGCGCCCAGCAGCTAATTAGGTTTGCCCGTCGGCCCGGACACCCTTCTCGCCGCCTGCCCTCTGCTGCGCGGCCGCGACCAAAAAAGTAACCCCACCAGCCCATCCAGAAACGATGCCCACAGGAATTGCCTCGATCAGGGAAGTGGGCAGCACACAAAGGAAGGGTCCCCCAGTGGAGGCCTCTGGAAGCGTCTTGGGTGCCTCACAGAGCTTCTTGGGGCCTCTTGGGGGTCTCTTGGGAGCATCTTGGAAGCCTTTTTGGGCGCCTGTTGGGGCCTCCTGGGCGCCTCTTGAGGCCCTCTTGAAGCGCTTTTGGGAGCTTTGGGAGCGCTCTTGGGGCCATCTTGGGGGACATCGATCAAACAAGAAGCGAGCATTAGTTTGCGTTGCCCCTAGGGAGCCCAAACACTCGCCTCTTGGGGCGCTCTTGGGGCGCTCTTGGAGCGCTCTTAAGCGCTCTTGGGGCCGTCTTGGGGCTCTCTGGAGCCTCTCTTGGAGCCCTCTTGGGCCATCGTGGAGCCATCTTGAGGCCTCGGATGGCCATCGGAAGCGAAAAGGCGAGAAAGCCAAACACATATATTTTCCTAAGGTTTTGGCCTCTTCGGGGCCTCCTGGGGGAGCTCTTTGGCCACTGGGAGCCGTCTTGGAGCGGTCTTGGGGCATCTTGGAGTATCGTGGGAGCCATTATGAGACATCTTGGGATATCTTGAGCCATCTTGGAGGTCATCTTGGGCTCTCCCAGGCGCTCTTGGAGTCATCTTAATCAGTGCCCCCCCCCCAAGAGGCCAACATGTGGCTAAAACCTTAGTGCAATCAATGATTTGGCATTCTCGCCGGGCCTCTTGGAGCATCTTGGGTGCCTGGGGGGTCCTTTGGGGCCTCTTGGGGGTCTCTTGGGGGCCTCTTCGGGGCATCCTGGGGGCCTCTTGGGGCTTCCTGGCCACCTCTTGGGGCCCTCTTGGGGCACCCTTGGGAGCTTTGAGCGCCATCTTTGGGCCATCTTGGGTGAGATCGATCACAGGGGGGGTGTCTAATTACAGTCCCCCCCTCAGGAGGCCACAATGGGGCCAAAACCCTGATAAAACCCATGATGTTGGCTTCCTCGCCGAGGCCGTTTTGGACGCTCCGACACCTCGCGGAACACCCTGTCCAGGTCCAGGGGAGGGGGGAGGGGGAGGGGTAAACCCCTCCCGACGGGGAAGAAGGAGGGGTGGAAGAGGAACATCCCTAAACCACCGACGCCCAGAGGGCTGGTGGGATTACGTTTGCCCTACAAGTTTGTGCGAGTGCATTCGTACTGATATGGTTCGCACCTTTTCGCAGTGCACACCTTTGCACTTTACACGTCTATGCGCTGAGTTGTACTGAATCTGCTCTGCAACGCTAGCCATTCAATGCAACAAAATTGCAATGCACAGCGTTGTATTGCTAGTCGGTTCCCGAAGCAAGCAATATGCTCAAGTGGGGCCGCGCTGGGTTCATTGCTTGAACTTGGCACTGTTGCCCAACAACGAAACGATCATGTTTTTTTTGGTAGCGACGCGCTAGCCGGCTCCATACAAA